TTATTCAAAAATTCGTAGTTCAAAAGTCCTCCATACTAGACAAACGTCTCGTATGTTTTTCTATTGGAAAAAGGAACCTATTTTACGAAAATATTGCAAGTCAAATTTGATCCGACATTTTCCGAAATTTTCCCTTATGTTTAAGGGCCACTTTTGCCATCTACAGACGTTTTTTCAAAAAATATACAGGTCAGAAGTTCTCCAAGCCAAGAAAACGTTCTGTATATTTTTCAATAGAGAAAAAGAGTTTCTTTAACAGAAAACTTGCAGACTAAACTCGAACTGAAAATTTCGAGTTTTTCCTTTGAGTTTAAAGGCGACTTTTGTCTTCGCAACACTGTTTGTTTAAAAACTCGTAGCTGAAAAATCATCCAAAGTAAAAAAAACGTGCTGTATATTTTCCAACAGAGAAAACGAGCGTATTTTATGAAAATATTGCTTATAACACGTCGAATTCGATGCAAAATTTTCTGAAATTTTGTTTTATGTCTAGGGCGATTTTTGCCTTCTGCAGACTTTTCTTCAAACGTTCGTACCTCAGACGCTTTCTATGCTAGAAAAACGTTTTGTATAGTTTCCAATAGAGCTAAAAAGTTCTTTTAACGGAAAGCTTGCAAACTAAACTGAAACTCAAAATTTCGAGTTTTTTCTTTGGGTTTAAAGGCGACTTTTACTTTTGCGACGCGATTTATTAAAAAGTTCGTAGCTCAAAAGTCCTCCATATTAGACAAACGTCCCGTATATTTTTATATTGAGAAAAGGAACCTATTTTACGAAAATATTGCAAGTCAAATTCGATCCGAAATTTTCCCTTATGTTTAAGGGCCACTTTAGCCTTCTACAGACGTTTTCTTCCAAAAATTCATAGGTCAGAAGTTCTCCAAGCCAGGAAGACGCTCTGTATATTTTTCAATAGAGAAAAAGAGTTTCTTTAACGGAAAACTTGCAATCTAAACTCGAACTCAAAATTTCGAGTTTCTCCTTTGAGTTTAAAGACAACTTTTGTCTTCGCGACACGCTTTGTTTAAAAACTCGTAGCTGAAAAATCATCGAAAGTATGAAAACGTGCTGCATATTTTTCAATAGAGAAAAAGAACGTATTTTATGAAAATATTGCTTATAATACGTCGAATTCGATGCGACATTTTCCGAAATTTTGCCTTATGTTTAGGGCGATTTTTGGCTTCTACAGACTTTTTTTCAAACGTTCGTACCTGAGATGCTTTTTAAGCTAGGAAAACGTTTTG